TAAACCACCCTCCATCTCCCCATTCACTTCAGGCTGCTGCTGAGGCTGGCCACACCCTGCACCGCTGAAGCGGTGGGGGGGAAGGGGGTGAAAAATGCCTAGCAGGGGCTACTTCTCTCTTCCCCCTCCAGGCATACCTTGACTGGGGACCGTACAGGCCATCATGGGGGTTTAAACTCCTCCCCAATCATACCCGGCTTGCTGGGGCCTGGCCATGCCCCCTCCTCAGCTCAGCTTCCCTTGAGCTGAGGGCTCACTCTTGTGCCCCTGGGCTTCTGGCTTGAGCCACTGCAGGCATGTCGCTGCATTTCCAGAATCAAAAGTGAATGTCTGTTCACTTGCTTGTTGGTTCAGTCTACACAGGTTAGACTAACCTGCAGAGCTTGAATTGATTCAGGCTTGGGCCTTTGAATATCTGTACTCAGCCCAGATGACAAAACTACTTGTGTGGGGCAGACTTTTCTATGTTACTAAGGCGATAGTTTTTTGTATTGCTTTAGCTGTTAACAGTTATTAATAGGTAGAAATGATGTTTTCCTTTGCTCTTAGCTGGAAACCTTTTTTAATTTAGCAAGGTCGAACAACTTTGTGATTTCTTTCATCTGACATTATTGGCAACCTTCAGTTAAATTATGCAAAAATCTAGTCAGTGGTATGTCATCGACATCCAAATGGAACCTAAGTATACAATTAAATGTAATGTGGCCTTCAGAACAAAGCCAATTTAATTTAGCTAAAGCCCTTGATGCATAGAAATGGTTTGGTCTGTGTCATTGGCACCTCCCACAGAAATCTTTAAGAAATGGTACTCAACTTATATACATCTCTTGCCTTTCCCTTTTATCCTTCCAAATGTAAAGAGGAAAGAAGTGTTCTGTGTGATCAAATGAACTCACTTATTTTGTGAAGTCATGTATTTTCCAAATATGGCTTTGAAAAACTGCTGTGAAAATTCAGCGGGGATAGTTTTAATTCTCACTTTTAATTTCTATCTTTATTTACAACTATTATGGAAAATTTTCTTGGTAAAACTCCTACCCTCTCCGCCTCCTCCTGTTGGATACCAAGCAGGATAATTTAGCTGTGTACTCAGTCTTAAAATAAACATTCCAGAAGAATATTGCTGCTGACTGAATCTCTTAGAGCTGCTAAAAACTGTCTTTAAGGCAGATGTTATCAATCAGTATTTGAAGCCAGCTCCCAAGAAATATTTGTGAGTATATTTGCTTTGTGTGCCCAGCTCAGTCCTCCTGATTAAGTTTGTGTGGACCATCTTTCATTATTTTAGACTGAATGCTTAACAACCTGTCTAGATCACTTTGGGTAAAGCAAAACAGGACTGACTTCCACTAAAACTAAACAGGGGGCAGTCTTGCCACTGTGTTACAAGCTACAGTAAATGACTTATTAAGAATAGAGTCCATGGTTAAAAACACGTTCTTGTAAGAAATTGTAGGAGTCAGATGTTTATTCTTTGATATATTCAAGTTATAAAATATTTTCAGGTATATGTGAAACCTAGTTAAAAAAAAATACTAGCCAGTAACTGCATGAAGCTGATGTCTTTCTATAGTCTTATGACTTCTGAAAATGTTTAGTATTTTCATGAACTGCTTTTTCCATGTTGTGCTAGGATAATTTCACAAATAACTGTGAAAAAGATAGCTATCTTCTACAATATAACTGATCACCCTAGATATAGACTGTACTAGATCTTGTAGTCTACCATCATTTTTGTGGATTAAGTTCTAGTTTCTATCTCAGTATTTTTATAAAGCTTTGAAAAATTACAAAGCATCCAAATCATTTTCATTACAACTCCAAAAAATCAGTTCTTTAGATTGATCATGTGACAGTTGTGGGTCTTGCATAATCTGGACCATTTTAGATGTGGGGACACTGGCACTGCGATATCTATCCATTTATGATATGTTTGTTTTGTTTTTTAGTACCTATGGGTGTTTGGTTTTGATTTTTGGATGTTCAGTGCTTTTGCAACCAAGATCCTAAATATTAGCTGCCTAACACCCTAAACTGAGGGCAGCGCTGCATGTGGAGTAGCAGGAATCATAATCATATAGTTATCTGGGGCGGGGGGTTCTGGCTCAAAAGTTTACAGAAGTAGACAACGAATCTATAGACTGCTTCAACTTAAAGTAGTATTTACATATAAAAATGACTAAGGAATGTTTGGGTAAGGAGTTTGTGTTTAACTTCTCTATGAAATGTAAAAAAAAAAAAAAAAAAAAGACCAAATCCATAGAACACATAAACATATGAATAGCTTTAAGCATGCGAGTAGCTCCATTGTGGTAATGGGACTATTCATATGCTTGATGGAAATGCTGGATTGAATCGTAAATGGTGATTATCCTGAACTGTACTTCTGTTTTAGCAGTCTGGTTTTTTTCAGTCATCACTGTTCCATCATGCAGTAACATTTGGTGGATACTTAGGGGTCAAGCAAAGGGAGCGTTTAACATGAGTAGGTTATAAAAAGCCGATTTGGTGCTAGTCTCCCATCTTGCACTGGGTTTGTCTTTGCCTCTCCTCTTAGCCTTCTCCAGCTGTTTCCCCATTTCTTCCTCCTTCCCTCACACAACTGTCCCTTCTCCATCTATTCCATGGCTTTTTTTAACAATATGCTTTACTGTTATTGGTGAAACACTAGCATGTCATTTTGATGAGTGATTATGTGCTCTATTGAAAATTCAGTCCTGCAGCTCAGGAAAATGTTGGGCTTGTTTTTTCCATAGCAACTGAGGAATTAGGTTCTGTGTCTTCACAAATTGGATCTCTAACAAGTGATAATATTTGTTTCTAGGAATTATGAGAAATATTTTATCAAGGCCCAAAAAGTGAGGCGTCTCATTGCCAATGACTTTGTGAACGTCTTCAGTAGTGGTGTTGATGTTTTGCTCACTCCCACCACTCTGAGAGATGCAGTTCCTTATGTGGAGTTCATCAAAGAAGACAATAGAACCCGCAGTGCACAGGATGATATTTTTACACAGGCTGCAAACATGTCAGGTGAGTAGATGAACTACTTAAGTAGATTGCTGGGAAAAAATGTTTAGAGCCTGTTACCTCCTGCCAGTTGCCTTTTCCCCCACTGCCTTTGCACAGGAAGCTCCAGCTTAATCAAGTTGTCATCTTACTCATAATCTACTTGTCATCTTAAATTGTGAGCTTATATTGACTTAGATCAGGGGTTTTCAACTGGGGGTACTTGGGATGGCCTTGGGGGTACTCAGCAGCAAGCACCGCCATGTCACCAGCACGCTTGCCAATCGGCCGCAGGAGAACCCCACCCCACCCCACCCCACCCCACCCCACCCCAGTCACCGGTGGGCTCCTGCCTTCTCTACCAACAGCTGGGGGTATACTGACCCAAAAAGGTTGAAAACTCCTGACTTAGATGAATCAACAGTTCTTATCCTATTACTGTAAAATATACAAGCTTCTAAAATGCAAATAAACTTGGTTAATTGATGCAAGTGTTTTTATTCTAATTGTCTGCCACCCACCTTCCCCAAGTTCTGCTTTGGTTCTTTTTTGAAGTTTCTTTTTCTAATAAGTCCTAATATATGGTTTGTTTTATAGCTAATCTTGCATGTGTGATGTTTAATAATTTTGTCTTTTCTCAGGGCTGCCAGCTGTAAGCATTCCTACCGCACTTTCAGAGAAAGGCTTGCCAATTGGGCTTCAGTTTGTTGGACGTGCGTTCCAGGAGCTGCAGCTTCTCACTGTAGCCAAATGGTTTGAAAAACAAGCAAAATTCCCTATCCTTCAACTACAGGAAATGCTAGATCATGCTGATGCTCTCTCCCATCAAAAAATCAGCCTTTCTTCATAATTTAGGGTAACGAATATGAAAAGGATCTTTCAGTTGGTTTTGTTTTGTATAAATGATAATCTAGATTCTGAAAATATGCATTAGTGCAAAATGGATTCATGAAAGCTGTTAGTATGTAATTAAATTGAAGTGAACCTCAAATTAAATTATGTTTGTAAGAGCAGTGTGTGTACTGTTTAAGAAGAATATATTAACACTGTAACAATAGTGGTATGTCTTGACCTTGTTTCCTTCATCTCCCAAGGAAGTGTTGAAGTGTTTATTCCAGTAAGAAACAAAACATAAGCTGTTGCCTCAATATTGCATGCTTGCCAAGGGCCCTGGTTTCCTACTTTATCCCTGGTCCCGTGGCTCTAATGAAACCAAGCTACCAGGGAATGACTTTCACAGAGGGGTCATGGCTGAAGGATAGGAGGCTATGCTCACAAATTAGTACAGGCCCAGTTTCAGATTGGGGAAAAGAACTGAAGATGAAATGATAAAGAAGCATGCATGGAAAAACAATAAAACTCCCTGATCTGTTGAAAGAAGGCCCCTAAACCCATGCAGTGTGTACCCCCTGTGAAGAGATCCCAGAGGTTTCTGTGGTGGTTACAAAACCCTTTTCACAACAGGAACTCAGTCCAAATAATTCTATGGAAAAGCAGCCCTTTAATTCATGAACACCTGTGTTTCCTCTTGCATTCTATTAGCATAGGTGAGGTGTCAAAAATAAGCATTAATGGATCAGTTCATTCTTTTCTTTACCCTAGGCTTTCCAGAAGAAGGGTCCTATCTCCTATTTGATGGCTATCTAATGTCTGAGAAACAATAAGTAAAAAGTTGGGCAGTACCAAGCCATGAAGTTAGAATGGAAGGTTTAATAAACAGCAATAGCTGCAATATTTAACATGCCTACTTTCTACTTTTATAAAATAGAAACAGTTGAGTTCAGACTGTTACTCATTTTTGGAGTCTCTATTTTCTTCTTGCATTGGCAAAATAGAGAAAAGAAATGAAAAGTCATTTCACTTCAAACTTTTCTTGTTTCAGCTTCAAACATAATTTACAACTAATGTAGATTCATAGATTATGAAGCCAGACGAGACTATTTGTGATCCTCTAGCCTAGGGGTCAGTAGCCTTTTGACAGTGCAGGCCTAAGCTTGCAACCCAGACAGCCCTACATCCACAAGTCTCCACCCCCTGTCCCTCTTCCATTTCCTGCCCCCACCTGCTGCATTCACCCTCACTGCAGATACCCAGTCCCTCTGCAGTAAGAGAAGTGCAGACATGGTACAGCAGCAAGCTCCGCAGCAAAGGGGACTGCTGCAGAGATGGGCAGCAGAACACAACTGTGCCACTAATTCCCCTGTGCTGGATCAGACCTTTGAGAGCCAGATTAGGACCCCTTCCTGGGACGGCTCTGGTCTGTGGGCCATAGGTTTCCAACTCCTGCTTCATCTGAGCTGTCTAACAAGGCCTGTAGGACATTACTAAGCAAATTCTTGTTTGAAACTAAAGCATTTATTTTAGGAAACTCTCCAGTCTAAATTTAAAAATGGTCAGTAGTAAGGAATCTTAAGATAAGTTGTTCCACTGGTTAATTAACCTTGCTATTTAAAATTTGCACCTTATATCAAGTCTTATTTTTGTCTAGTGTCAGCTTTCAGCCATTAGACTTTGCCATGCTTAGGTCTGATTGAAGAGCCTATTATCAAAGTGTTCTGTTTCCCATGCAAAGTGCTCAGACATTGCAATCAGATCATCCATTAACAGTTGTCCGTTAAACTGAAGAGCTTGAGCTCTTGGATCGTGTCCACACAAGTGTGGACATTTGTTTTCCTGGGGACAAGAAGCAGCGGCACACCTTGCCACTGCTTCTTGTCCCTGGGGAACACTCATGCCATGCACCCTCTGGCATGTTGCAGGTTACCTTGGGTGGGGTAGGGGAAGCTGGGCCAGCAACTGTGCTGACCCTAGCAGCCTTACCTGGGGTCTTGAGGGCCTCGGGGAGCTGCCGTCATGTTGCTCCTGCAGCTGGGAGCCTGGCTGGCAGCCAGAGAATGGCTCTGGCAGGCCAGGCTCTGGCTTTGGGCAGCACACACTGCTGCCATGTATGCTGCCCTGCTTTTTTTCTGTGTTGGTTTTTTTGATCCCAGGATCTCCTGGGGTCAAAAACCCCTCGTGCCACAAGGTAGGAGCATGGGGTAACACCTGGATGTGTGGTGCTGCAGATGGGTCTGTGGCGCCATACATCACATGGCTGCACTTGTGTGGATTTGGCCTTGGACTCTGCTGCCTTAGGGCATGTTTTGCAATCCTTTAATTTTTCTTACGACTCTTTTCTAAACCTTCATTAATTTATCAACATCCATTATTGATACCAAAACTGGACACAGTAGCTTAGTAACTTTTTCATCAATATCAAATACATACGAAATATACTTGTTCCCCTATTTTACACATTCAAGAATTGCAAAAGTCTTTGTGGCCCCAAATGTTGTTCTGTGAGTTCACGATGAGCAGACTAACTACTGTGCTCTTGAGTTCTTTTTTGTTTGTTTTGTTCTGGAGTCTGTGCCTTCCCGCATAAATTCCCCTGTCTCATAAGTATATCCCACATTCTTTGTTCCTAAATGTAGGAACAAGTAACTCTACATTTGGGTATATTACATTGGGTCCAGTTTACCATGCAATCCAGATCAATCAGTTACCCAACCAGTCTGCATTGTCTACAACCTTTCAGTAGTTTGGGGTTTTTCTTTTTCTCCAGTCATTGACAAAAATGAAAAATAGTGTGGAGCCAAGAGGCAAGGATTTTTGTTGGTGATATCTTTTACTAGACCAGCTGCATGGTTGGAATAGATTTGACAAGCTTTCAAATGCGGTGTATTCTTCATGTAGAGCCAAGAACCATTCACTGCAGAATCCACTAGAAATACACCTACAGATCCGTTTATAGTTATGTTTTGAGACTTTGCACTTAGCCAGTTTTTAATCCATTTAATGTGTGCCATAGCGTTTTCTAGTTTCTTAATCAAAAATCAAATGCTAGCAAGTCAGATGTCTTCCAAATGTATAATATCTATGCTATTACCTTTTATCAACTGTTATCTTAAAAACGAATTACTTTGACAAGATTCAAAGAATGTTTGACAGAAGAAAACCGATATTGACTGATGCTCTCCTTAAATTCTTTATTAATTAGGTCCCATCTCAGCCATTCTGCTCTCAGGTTTGCAGGACAGCATTTATCTAGTTCACTCGGTTTATTCTTTCTATATATTGGCACAACATTAACATCCTTTATGTTCTCAGGGATAATTGGAAGTCAGCTTTCAGGACTGAAAGCTTTCACAGTTTTAAAATTCTTGAATGGAAATTATCCAGACCCACTGATTCCTTCCCTGCCATCATGGAAAGTGTTTGATCATATGAATAACTACCTTATCTGGCTTTTCCTGAAATCCAGAACAGAAATAGTAGAGTTCTGCTTTTTTCTTCAGTGCTGTTGACAATTCTACCAGGTCCTTGTAGCAATGGGCCAGTGCCATTACTCGGACTCCTTTTGGTCCTACCTACACCCCACTTTCTAATCAGCTATTATGGTTCTATCCTTCAGTTTTATATTCATTACAATCACACCTTCCTGTTTGTTTATTTTTAATAGCTGTCTCTCCATCCCTCTAGGGTTAGTTTTTGAGCCAGTGCAATGTTCTTTCTCAGTTGTGTCTTTGGCCAAATTAAATTGTTCTTTTAGAAATTCCCACTCATTCATGCTATGGTAGTATAGTATCTCTGGGTTCAGATTGGTGCTTTGGAAAAATACAATTTCACAAGGTGTGTACATATTGAAGTCTATTGTTTGTGTATATATACTAAGTTTGGTATAAAACATAAAAATATGATGAAGTCATGATTATCTGTACCTAAGGTAGAGCTAATTCTTAGTTCTCTGATCAATATCTGCCAAGACGAGGTGTTCTGTTCATCTCCCCAGTGTTAGCTGCAAAATTCTGAGCTAGGAAACTGTCATCTTCTATACTAAGAAATTCTGAGGGTGTTTTAGTATTGGCAGTATGAGACATCCAGGAATAACGCTGAAGTGCCCTGTATAGCAACAGTTTTTTTCCTGTCGCTCTACATTACAGCTAGGTTTTCAAGAAGCTAGTTGTTCTTGTTCTCCAGCGAGATCTATTGGTTAGCAGCAAAAAGTAACTAGTGCTTTATCTTGCATGCACATATTCAAGATAATTTTCATCCAGGTTGTTGGAAATGCACAGTGCTATTTTCTGACATGTTTCCCTTCCCATTTTACCCACTATCCTTCCTTTATTAGTTATAAACATTACCTTCTAGCATCCTAATAATGTGAATCATTTCACCAGATGCCAGTAATGCCAACTAGGTCAGATTTATGCTCATAATGAGAAATTTCCATTGCTCTTGTTTATTAACAAGACTCAACATTCTGTAAGGGGCCTCTGTGCTCTGGCTTCAGCAGCTGCTCCTTCCTGCAGGTGGCAGCTGGAGCTCAGGTGCTGCTGGGGTGCAGGGGCTGGGGTGAAGCTGCAGTCCCTGGTCCTGGGGCACCTGGGGAGAGTGGGGGTTTGAGGATTGGGAGACTATATCTATACCACTCCCTGAGTCAGACTGGACATGCTGCTCAGGCCTATAGATTTGTGGAATAAGCAGCTGGATGCGGCCCTGAGCATATACCCTGGACCACATTCAGCCATCTACTCTGCAAATTTGCAAGCGGGTGGATCTCATTTTTTGGTAATGTGCCCCATCTCGCTCAGGAGGAGGTAGTATAGATGCACACTAGGGGACTTCAGGTGCAATCCTAATTGGGCAGCAGCCAGTGTGCAACTGGAGGATCTCACTGTTGCCTAAATGTTAGACTTAGGTACCTACAGTTGTAATTAGAGAAAAATCCACAAAGGGACTTATGTGCTTTAGGCTGTTGGTTAGTTTAAGTTTTGTAAAGTAATGTTGAGCAGTGGTTTCAGAATCTGACTTACACTGCCAAGTTGGTATCTCGGAGCCTAAAAATGGCAAACAACTTCTACAGTACTTTTAATGAGAAGTTTGAAATCCTTACTACAGCAGTAGGGGTGGAGGTCTCTTGAAATTAGTATGGGAATGAACTGCTTGAATAAAGGCACCAGCTCCAAGTGAAAAACAATGCAATTAATTGAAATTGCTGAAATTTAGGATATTGCAACACAACTATGGTAGAAAGTTAGGGATAGCACGTCAGCACATAATGAGCTCCATGAAATATTTGCAGCTGGAAAATCTTTCTAAGAATCCAAAGTCTTAACAAACTGCAGCTACTGCTGTTTCTCAAGGAATAATGGACTTAGGTCAGGGGTGGGCAAAATATGGTCCATGATGCCATTTTATCTGGCCCACAGGGCCCCTAAAAAATTTAGAAAATTAGTATTTATCTGCCCTTGGTTCCTGCCAAAAACAACAGGAAGCAAGGGCAGTAGGACCCAGGGGAAGCCCAGCTGGCTCCCACAACAGCAGGTCCTGCCCTGCCCCACCCCCACAGCTAGAAGCCCCAGCAGGGGCTTCTGGCCTGGGACCATGTGGCTGCCCCACACCAGAACCTCAGGTAAGGGGGGAGGGAGGGCAGAAGGACAGGGAAGGAGCCCAGGGAAAAGTTGCCCCTCCCCTGCCTCGTGGCTGGTGCCCCGCGCTGTAACTGCTTGCAGCCCACATGGGGCTGCCTGTGTCTGC